GGGGCAACGCGCGCCCGCCGCGCAGCGCCCCCTCGCGCCGCCCCCGGCCCGCTCTCGAGCCGGAGGCCACGCCCGAAGCGCCCCGCCGGTTGCCCGGCGAGGGAGCCGGGCCGGCCTGCGCCCGTCCCGCAGCGGGGCTCCTTCCAGCAAAAGCCCGGCCTGCAGGCGCAAGGGCGGCACCTCCCGCGCCGTTCGCCTCCGACCCGGCGGGCCGCCGGCCCCATCCGTCGTCGGGCAAGGACCGTGCTGCGATTCCCTCCCCCCCCCCCCCCTAAAGGGGGGTCGCGCCGGATTCCTCTTGCAGAGAGCCGGGTAACGCGGCTGCGGCCCTTCGAGATGAGTCACGTCCCGGCGCAGCCGAAAACAGCCAGCCTTGCCGCCGCCAGGGCAGGGGGGCCGGCCTCGCCCCCGCCTGCCCCCGCGGCCACCTTGCCGCCGCCCGTCCACCCGGCCCCACCGGGCAAGGGGCCGCAGGCCGGCCCCCGAGGCCCCCGGCCGCGCGCAATGACGCAGCACTTCCGCAGCATCCATGTTGGCGCTGGAAGACGCGCCGGGTCCCGCCGGGTCAGCACCGAGATGGGCTCCCTCCCCCCGCGGACGGCACCCACCCGGGGCGTCCCCCACGTCGCGACACAGCAGAGCCGATTCGCGCTCTTCCCGGCGCAGACCGCCTGTCCGGCCCCCGTCCTGCAGAGGGGCCTGCCCCGCACCCACGTCCAAGCAGCCGCCCGGAGACTACCCCCCCCCGGGTCCCCCCTCCTTCCCTCGCGCGGCCCCACGGCCACCTCGCCCCCCAGCTCTGCCACGGAGGCGGATGCGCTCGCCCCCCCCCACTGCGCCCACGTGGCGGGTTGCAATTTACCCCAACTCCTAGCAGGCATTTTCAAAAAGAGCTTCTGCATCACTGCAGCCTTAAAGAAACCTGGAATGTGCCACAAGCCACGGGGGGGACGACCCTCCCCCCCTCTTCGGAAGACGCCCCTCCTCCCCCCACAAAAAATGGGGGTCCCATTGTCGGGTGCCACGTGACAGCCAACTTCTCCCTTTACGTAAGACAGCTGGCCCTTTAAGCAGCCACCGCCCGTCCTCGCTTCCAATTGGACGGCTTTCGGCACAGGAGGCGGGAGGAGCCGCTTGACTGACATCCTTCTACCCCCGCCGCAAACGCCTCCAACCTCTGGAAATGTCACGTGGGGGAAAAGGACTCACCCCATTGGTCCTCAGCAGGAGAAAGCGTGCGCTCGTCCTCAGCTGCCCCAAACCAGAGTAATCCATCTTTGTTAATTCCGTCGAGTTTTGAAGTTGAAATGGAATAAAAAATAAAGCATCTTAAAAAAAAAAAAAAAAGCCAACCGCCGCCTCAGCCATGGCGGGAAATCGGAGTAGCGTCCACGTCACCGCGTCCTGATTGGTTCCCCATCGCCATGTGACCGCCTCGCGACATTCTTTAAAAAAAAAAAACCCGGATGGTGGCTTCCGGGTGGGGGGGGAGAAGGGGACGATTTCACGTCCTTACCTTTACCCCAGAGAAGAGCCCGAGCGGCCGATGGAAAAGCGCCGCGCAGCCGACCTGGGGGAAAACAACCCATTCCCCCCCCACCGGCCTCGCTTTGGGGTAAAATCGGCATGGCTCCCGCGACGCTCGAAAAGGACTACTGCGCATGCGTGCCCCATCGCGGTCTACCCCTCCCTTCCGGACCAGGGCGCCTGCGCGGCGCGGGGGAGGGGGAGAGGAACGCGAGAGGCCGCGCATGCGCACTGGCGCTTTGCTGCGGTCCGGCAGTCTCCCGCCCCCGCGCCAGCCGGCTGTGCCCCCGCCCCCTCGCATGGTAGCCCCTGGACATGTGCAGAATGCCTTTCTCTCCGCGCCCCACTTCCCCTGGTTTGCGCGGGTGGGCAAGGCCAGCACCGCGCCTGGCTGGATCCGGCCCGCTTGAGGCTCGGTGGTGGGTCGTGTGCTTTACCCGCCGCCCGCCCGGGGTCCGTTCCGGGGCCGAGGCTCCGGGATGCACTTGCCCGCCTGAGCAGGAAAGCCATGCTGAGCCAGAGGACCCCCCGGCCCGGCTTGGCGTAACCGCCCCCCCCCCGGTATCTTGTGTCCCGAATGCCTGCTAGGCTGTCGCCATAACCTCTACGCATGTGCAGACTGCCTCTCTCCAAAACAGCCTTTCCGCAATTCACTTCTTCATAACACACTCGTAAGTTTCGCAAGCCTTAATGGCATAACCGGGCCGTCTCTGCAACTGCAGCCGGTAGATCTCCAGCTCTGTCTCCTGGGCTGCATGCGGGGCTTCGAAGAAACACTTTGTGCGTGGCAAATGGAAGTGCCCACCCTCTGTCATCCATATGTCCACACCAGACAGTCTCCCACAGTGAGGTCTCGCTCCTCGCAAGAAAGCAGCCGCATCACCGCACTTGGCAGATCCCACCACTGCATGCCAGGTAATCCCTTGTTTTTCCTTTTCACAACTGCAGAGTGTTAGGAATGAAATCCCAAGCAGTGACGATAATTTACGTACTTCGTATCCTGTTGTGAGCCGCCCCGAGGCCTCGTTGCGATGGGGGCGGCATAAAAATGTTTTAAACAAATAAATAATACGTTCTTGCATTTCCACAAAAGGCCTTGCCTTTTATTCTCAAATTTTCCCAGCTCACAGACCCTGCCTCTTTTCTCCCACTGGCTGGGTTACTAAGAGGCCCCAATGTTCTCCCTCCACCTCCATCATACCACTCCTTGATATATCCCCACCCCCCCCCGCTCACATGTCCCATGTTCATGCTAATGAGCCCATTACCTATGAGAGGGGTGTCACCTATTGTTCGTGGACCTATGAAGCGTGCGCACTACTTTCTAAAAGTTCAACAGGTCGGCTTGGCCTTGTAACCGTCTCGCCTGATGCCCACTCATTTCCCAAAACTTGTGGGAGGATGAGGGAGGACGAACAGACCTTCCTCCGAGCTCCTTACAGCCAGTTGTAAGAGGCAGTCAATTTCCTCCTCCCTTCCATAAAAGGTGACGGTTTTGCCATTGCCCCCAACCTCACCCGCCTTGTGTTCTTCAGGACTTTGGTTTCTCTTGCAACTCTCTGCATGGTTCTGTCCTCAGGCCCTTTGGCCTTAAGAGGTTTCAGTGGCCTTCCCCTAGCCTTTGATGTCGCCCTCGCTTCAGTTACCGCCTTCCTGCTTAGTAATTTTCCATGTCTCGCAGGAGGACGGTAACACCTGAACGCTTCCCCACGGGGCACGTGGGCTCGTGCCGGAGGGGCTCGGTCGCCCCCTCGCCTGGCTCGCGGAGAGAGCTCACCGGTGCCTCTCCGGCACACTTGGTATGCTGGAGAGGCCTGTATGGCAGGCGGCGGGCTCCCCGAAGGGCTTGCGGTGCCAGCGGAGATGGCCCGAAAGGACGAACGGTGCACTTGGGGGTGTCACCGGACGAGAGCGTGAAGCGGGGAGGAGCTGCAGGGAGCTTCTGTTCGCAAGGCCTGCTCGCCGCTGCGCCGTAGCGTGTGACGCGCTCGCGAAGCACGCGCTGCAGAGCCACCACAAGGGCCCGCCGGGCCAGGAGGCTCCCTGCCGCCCTTGCCTGCCTCTGAGGAGCAGCACGGTGCAGCGGTGAGCGGGGATGGAAGCGGCAGCCAGGGCAACCGGAAAGGCCAGGGCACGAGACCGGCCGGGGCCGGCCACGCTCCGTGCAGAGATGCTTTCGGCTGGAAAGGAAGGCCGATCGCACCCGGCAGGCAAGGGGGCCGCCTGCCTGGGCCGCAGTGGCGCTGGGAGCCCCTCCAGCTGTGATGTCAGGTGGGGAACCCAGTGAAACGCTGGTCCGCGGCTGTGGAGTCGGCCTCAAGACCAGTGTGGCGCAGTGGTGAAGAGCGTGGGACTGGGACTCAGACCTGGGTTCGAGTCCCCGCTCAGCCATGGAGCCAACCGGGTGACTTTGGGCCAGTCACAGACTCTCAGCCCAGCCTACCTCACAGGGTTGTTGTTGAGGAGCTAAGATGGAGGAGGAGGAGGATGTAAGATGCTTTGAGCCCTTTGTAGGAAAAAGGCAGGATATAAATCCAAAAAATAAATAAATAAAAATAAGACCGGAGCTGGGGGAGCAAGGCAGGCGCTTGGCATCCCACCGGGCAAGCCGAGACCATGCCCGGACCATCAGCCCCGGAAGGCGCCGGCTCCTGCACACAGCCCCAAGACAGCCGTGGTGGAGGGGGCTCTTGGCGACTGGAGG